GGAATGAAGACTTCTAAGATACTCTTCAATTCAGCATCATCTTATTTGCTTAATTCACCAGTACTAAAGATATTATTATAATAAATACCTTCTAATTCTTTCTAACATAGCTGGGAAATTTGTTCTGAGATGAGTGAGGAATTTCTCTTCGAATTTTGCAATTTCTGAAGTTTATACTTTATCCAAAAATCCTCTAACACCAGCATAAATAACACAAACTTATTCTTCAGCACACATTGGTACCTAAAATTTTATTCATATTAAAATTTACGTATTATTTTTATTTAAGTAATTCAGTTAATTAGGCACCTCTATTTAATAATTATTATGTGGCTGCATCTAAATCTGAACCAAATTAAGCAAATGCAGCTACTTCTCTGTATTAAGCCAATTCTAACTTAAGTCTACCAGCAACTGTCTTCATTGCTTTAATTTAAGCAGCTGAACCGACTCTTGACACAGACAAACCGACATTGATAGCTGGTCTAATACCCTAAATTTATATTATATTAAAAATTTACCTTGAAGAACAATTCTGTTTCTAAGAAAATTTATCCATCTGTAATAGAAATAACATTTGTTGGAATATAAGCTGAGACATCACCAGCTTATGTTTCAATGACTGGTAAGGCAGTTAAAGATCCATTTCCATTTTCAGCATTAAGTTTAGCTGCTCTTTCTAATAATCTGGAATGCAAATAAAAGACATCACCTGGATAGGCTTCTCTGCCTGGTGGTCTTCTCAATAATAATGACATTTATCTATAAGCAACGGCTTATTTAGAAAGATCATCATAAATAATAAGAGCATGCATTCCATTATCTCTGAAATATTCTCCAATAGCACAACCAGAATATGGTGCTAAATATTAAAGAGGAGCAGCTTCTGAGGCTGTGGCTGCAACCACAATTGTGTATTTCATAGCACCAGCTTATGTAAGAATCTTGACTAAGTTAGCAACAGTTGATCTCTTTTAACCAATAGCAACGTAAATGCAATATAATTATTTATTCTTGTCACCAGAATCAAAATTTGGTTTTTAATTGATAATTGTATCAATAGCAATAGCAGTCTTTCCTGTTTATCTATCACCAATAATCAATTCTCTTTATCCTCTTCCAATAGGAACTAAACAATCAACAGCCTTTAATCCTGTTTACATTGGTTCATGGACACTCTTTCTTGGAATAATTCCTGGTGCTTTTAATTCAACTCTTCTTCTTGCATTTGTTTTGACTGGACCATGTCCATCAATTGGATTACCAAGTGCATCAAATACTCTTCCCAACATTTCCATTCCAATAGGGACATCAACAATAGCTCCTGTTCTTTTGACAATATCTCCTTCTTAGATATCTCTAGAATAAATGAATTAAAATGAATTACCTGTCATTACCCAACACGACAATACCCACATTATCTGTTTCCAAATTCAAGGCCATACCTCTTACTCCTGAACTGAATTCAACCATTTCTCCTGCTTAAACTTATGTTAATCCAAAAACTCTAGCAATACCATCACCAATAGAGATAACTGTACCATATTCTTTGATGTCATTCTAATTTATCACTATAATTCTTTACCAATTGTGAAATATTTTTAATTTTATCTTCTAATACGCTTGATGCTTCACCAATACCCAACTTCTTTGAGAATCCCATTGATGGTAAATACCAAAGTGATTTTCTCAATACGGATGTGTACCCTCGTATCATAATTAATTTATTTAAATTAAATCTTCAAATCAGAACATAAATACTTAATATATTATCTAACCCTTCTAATTCTCATTCCTTCATACTTCATTACCTTAGACCCATAAATTAATAAGATAACAAATTTTATAAAATATAAACTATTGAATGTGCTTAACTTAAGGTTTTTATAGATAAAATATATATTCAAAAAAATTTAATTCAAAATAATTGATTCATAGTACATAAAACTCAAAGAAATAGCATAAAAAATGAATAATTAAAAATTTTTATGATTGATAATTATCATTTAGATGCAAGATTCCTCAATTTTTTATTTTTAATAAAATTTTGAATTTAAATATTCCTACATATTAATATAGGATCTAATTATATATTGTCTAATATAGAAAACAATTTTGATTTCACTAATCATTTTTTTTATTATAAATATATTTAATTTAATAATGTCTTGGTAAAAATAATTAGGTAATTCTGTTAAAGAATTGCGATTTGTATTTTGCCAAACATGTGGTAGATCTGAAGGTATAAGGTAATGATGTATTATTAAATTCTAGAAATCTAGTCACTAAAAATTATTGGCAATGGAAAGAAGCAAATCCAACATTCCCATTTGTAGTGAGAGAATGTGAATCAATAGATCCTTATATTCTTATTAGATATAGTATTTATAAATTAAATTGGTAGAATATGGAGTTGAAAAGAAAGCATTGATAGGCAACTTAAACGAATAGGAATTAGAATAAGTTTTAGGATAACTTATTGCTTAATCTAATAAAGTTAATTCAACTATCTGAATAGAAAGCATAATAAATTATACAATCAAATTTTATATAATTTTTAATTATTTGTTTGCACAGCTTCTCCTACAATTTAATTAAAACTTTGCATATGTTTTATACGTTTAATCAAACTATCTTTAGTTGAGATATTTTTCTTTAATAATATGCTTTAATTATATAAATGATTGATCTTTTTTTCAAATAATGAACAGAGACTTGATTCAGCTGAATCATCTCTCTCTTCTAATTGATCTTCACCTTGATAATGTAATTTTTATTTAGAATTATTTTTCTAAATATATGATTATTATGATCTATCAGTTATACATTTTCTTTGATCTTAGAATGATTATTAAGATTTTTGAATAAATATTTGGTTCATTTTAGAATTAGAAAATTTGAGAGTTTTTGACTTTAATTATTTTATTTTATCTTTAAATTATGATTCATAGATTGTTTAATTAGCTTAATGAGTTATTTAATTACTAATTTAGATTCTACTATTTTGATTATCTTCATTTATTTCTGTTTTATTTCTTCTAGTTATTATTTTTAAATGCTTAGTAGAATTAACTTTATTTTTCACACTACTCTAAATTGATTTATCATATTCAAGTGTTTCTTATAGTTGTTATACAGCAAAATCTGCATTCTAAACCATTTTTAAATTTTTTAAAGTATTTTCTCTAAATAATAAGAATTTGATACGCTGTTAATTCTTCATTAATTTTATTCATATGTTTTCTTATTATAACTTTTTTTAGTTATTTAGCCAATTATATACTAGGAGTATCACATTTTGAATTATCAACTTAATTGCTAATTTCAGAACCTCTTTTTCTTTTATTCATATTATGTCTATGTATAATCCTCTCTTTCAATTTTTTTAAAGCACTTTCTCTTTGTGTATAATAAGGCATCTCATCATTAGTGTTATCAAAAGATCCATTATCATTCTTAGTTATTTTATATAATCTCTTGTAGTTTTGTAATGTCAAATATTCATCAGCTTATAAATCTCCATCTAAATAGGCCTGGAATTTTATTTAATTGTCTTATTCTATTTACTATTTATTATATAAAAAAGAAGGTTATTCTTTTACTAAAGGATCATTTCTAGTAAATTGGCTAGCCTATTTATATTCTAATTTTTGTTTGGTTTTATAAAGGAATAGTCTTAAATTCATTAAAGCACTTAAAGGTTTAATTGAATCTGGAGTATTTAATTCTTTTCCATATGAATGTACATTTCTTCTGGGTTTTTCTGATTGGGAGATCTGGAGATAATTTGGTTAATATGTTTATCTTTATCTCATAATTTTATTAATTGAATTAAGATATATTTTATATAAGAAGATATTTGCTAATTACAAGTAAATTTTCATAATTCATATCAATCACATAACTTTTTTTGAGCAAAACCAACTTAATGATTGCATTAAGTACAATAATGTACAACATCTTTTTAAGAATTCATAATACAAGGTATAAAGGCCAATATTGGAATAGTAAATAGTAATAAACAAGAACAACAACAAACACTTTGTCCTGACTTATATTCAATCCTTGTTTTTGTATTTCTTCTACAAAATTAACATTCGATCTCAACTGGAAATCTAACTCCATCTGCAGTTCTTGGAAGTTTCATTGGCATACCTTAAGCCATTCCTATTGGTGCTCCATATACATATTATTAATCCTAATTATTAATAGGTTATCCTTATAAAGGCTATTGTTAATGAGGGATATATTGTGGCTAAGTTTGAACTGATGGATAATTATAGTTATTAATTCCTTGATATTATTATTATGAGGGTTTTTAGTATTAGTTATAACCCTAATTAACACCAGGTTGTTAGTTATTATGAATTTACATTAAATAGGTATTTATGTATGATAATTAAAAAAAATTAAGGATTATATACAATCAACAACATAATTTGTACTTTTTCTTTCCAACTTTCTTTCCACAATTTGGACATTTATGGATTTTATCTTAGCATTCATCAAAACAAAATGGCAAAAAGAACAATGGCAAGAAAAACAAAAACAACAACAAACAAGCTAGCCATGTACTACATCCTGATTGATATTCAATAAGAGTCTAAACAGGTTTTTGACAATAAGGGCACAAAATATCTGTTGGATATGAACAACCTTCAGCATTTGTTCTTCTCACTTATTAGATAACTATAGGTTATAAGACTACTTATTGAGGACCTAAATTAAATTTAAATAATACTCATAAAAGGCTATTATTATTAGATTGGTATGTATTATTAGTTTGGATAACCAACAGGAATATTGTTTTATTCTTTTGGATATTGATATTATTATGGTAATTCTTTGTTTTATTTTTCTTCAAAGGCTGGATATGCTTAACAAGTAATATTTTATTCCATTTGTTCAAGTTATTAATGATCAAACTTAAATGTATTAGAAGCTTATAAATAATTGATTCCATAAAATTTTATGGACTGTTTTTATTCATTATACAAATTGATTAATTAAAATTAATTTCATATTAATTGAAATATAAAAATTGAATTAAAGTGTATTTACATTAATATATTATTTTGCTGATTCTAAATTAAATAACAGTCATAACTTAAAAAACAATATAAAAAGTGTCAAAAAATTCAAAGGTGCCTAGAATCTAAGGTTTATAAGTTACTTACTAGAATTCAAACTAATTTATAAAGTAAAGAAGAAAGCTTGAATTTGATATATCTTTCTGATTAATTCAAGAATCAATTCAATATAAATTATATATAAATAAATAATAAAGGGTACCTAATCTTATAATTAATTAGAAGTTTATATACTCAAAAATTTAATAAAAAATTCATGAATATAAAAATTGTACATTATTTTGCAATAGTTTGATAAATATATATGTTTTCTAAAAAATTACCTTTTCCTATAAGAATTTCCAATGTTTAAAGATTTTCTAGAATTTATATTGAGCATTCTTCTAATCTATATTATTTAAGTTATATATAATATATGAAATAACAGTGTCTATAGAATGTGTATTAAATGTATGACAAATAAATTCTGCAAATACTAACCAAAAGTTATTTATTTAAAAATAATTGTAATTTTCATATTTTTTAGTTATTACAGCCAGACATTATTGACCTCAATTTATATATATTATTAATAAGAATAAGAATAGTATATTTCTTTAAAGAATTATATGATACATCAATTTTAATGGGTTTTACACTTTTAAGTTCTGTTTTATAGGAGATAAATTCTTGAAATTTTATTAAACAAATAGCATTTATAGAACATTTCTTACCTTTTTATTCGTTAAAATTATTGTATTGGAGCTGGTCTAAAGAACATAATAGGATTTATGAGGATGTATTATAATATTAAGTAACAATAACGATAAAAATCAACAGAACGTGTAGGGAGTTCTTCCAACAATTTAGTTACAAAATGGACAGTAATGAATTATGTCTTTACATTATTTTAAGATACAAGGTAACCAGCATAATGGCCAAAATAGGACAATTAGCAAGCAGGTAACTTAGATTGCACCCAATCCGTATTCAGTTTCGAGTCTAGTCATATTTATTCTTTAGCAATTATTGCAAAAGACTTCTTACTATGATTTATGCCCATTGGCTGTTGTCAAATAATCATTTCTATATTAATTTTATCTACTTAAATACTTAGTCATTCTTCTTGTTAAAACCTTAGGTAAACCTATTTCTAGTATTAAATCAGCTTAATCTCCATTGTTTGGAGTTATAGGTTAAGATCGAGAGAGAATATTTGGTTATAAAGGTGAACTCATGAATACACTTTGGGCTAAGTTAGTTAGTGTTGGTTTTTAATATTCACTATGACTTTAGCATACAGTCATTTGATTACAAATCTCGGAACTGTTCTTCATAAGGTTTGAATTAAACTATATTAATTATTTATTGATAAGATTTCTTTATAAATTTATAACAATTAAACTAACATCTTATTCTTAAATATTGATCCTATTCTTGTTGAATAGATTAAAAATGATAAGAATATATTTTAATATATAATAATGATCAGCTTCTCAACAAACCTCATACCTTTTTTTACCAACACATTTCTGACAATGAATACAAAGATGCACTCTATCCTTACAATCTTCTAAACAGCAAGGAAGCCAAAATAAGGGCCAGCAAAATATTAAAACTAATATTGAAGCACATATTGTGCCATCACCTACTCTATTCTCAATTCTAGTGACTCCTTATTAATTACAATAAGGGCATTAAATTTAAACAGGAAATCTCATTCCTTCTGCACTTCGCAAAACAGGTGCTGCAGTATAAACTGGTCCATTCGGTACCAAGCCAGATTAACTTTTAGAAATTAATACAACTTATTACTACACAGGTTGTTAAGGATAGTTTCCATATTAGGGTTAACCGACTGGTTATCCAACTGGAATGTTCGGATCTAAATATGGAGCTGGTTATTGGTAAGCAGGATATGGCTATGGTTATACATATTAGTTCTGCTATGGTTAAGGTTAAAAATAGGGGTATCCTCCTTATTAAGCAGAGGCTTATCCATATTAGTTATTTTGATTATATTCCATTTGATTAATTTATATTTTTATAATTATAAGTATACTTTGATATTTTATATCTCTTATGATTTATTATGAAAATGAAATGTATATAGATAATATAAAATCATGAACATGCTTTATAAGGTGTATGTCCAACAACTTTTCCACAATAACTACATTGATGATAAACATCTTTACAATCACCAGATAATAAAGGTATTAAACATAAACAACCAAAGAAAATACATAATAATACAGCAATCCAATATGTATCATTACCTGGTTTATAAGTAATAGTTGTAACTGAATGTTAATTACAAAAAGGACATTAAACTAATGCTGGAGTTCTAAATCCAGAAGCATTTTATACTACTTATGGAGTCTAAAATATAAATTATAAATATACATAAGGAATATAAGGATTTTGTAATACAATACCAGTTATCTATTATTAATAAGGTTATATTAATTATTATTATTATTATTATTATTATTATTATTATTATTATTATTATTATTATTATTATTATTATTATTATTATTATTATTATTATTATTATTATTATTATTATTATTATTATTATTATTATTATTATTATTATTATTATTATTATTATTATTATTATTATTATTATTATTATTATTATTATTATTATTATTATTATTATTATTATTATTATTATTATTATTATTATTATTATTATTATTATTATTATTATTATTATTATTATTATTATTATTATTATTATTATTATTATTATTATTATTATTATTATTATTATTATTATTATTATTATTATTATTATTATTATTATTATTATTATTATTATTATTATTATTAGTTTGAATATTATTATTAGTCTGTTTATAGATTCAATACTTAATAAGGATTTTATAAATATGGTTATTATAATTATAATTATTATTATTATTATGGTTATTAAATTTAAGGAGCATAAGGTACATAATATTAATTAATTGGTTATTATTAAGCTTATAATAATGGTACATTTTAAGTTGAAAAGTCTTAAGGTGCTTTTGCATTTTCTTTATCCATTTTCCGTATTGTTTATTTAATATATTAATTATTTGAAATAAATAAACTATTTATCAATACAATTCTATATATTCTATGTTGTTTATATATAATACATAAATATAATTATATATGTATATATATATCAAATTATTTTATTAATTAAAACTCCATATCTATCTTATCTAACATAACCATCTTAATATATTCTTTACATCATTTCATCCATTATTTATTCAATCTCTTTTTATTTATATATATATTCTTATATATCAACATTTACATTACATTCAATCCATTTTATTCTTTCTTCAACTAATTATTCAAGTCTTGATATTTCTTCAGCTGTGAATTTGCATTTAATTTATTCATCTTTGATAGTGTTTTTAATTTAATATTCAGTTAATTCAATGTTGTTCTTGGCTTCAATCTTTGATTTAATTATATCATCTTCAGCTCTAAATTTTTCAGCTTCCTAAGCTAATAATTCAATTTCATCTTTTGATAATCTACTTTTTTAAGGCATAATAGTAATCTTTTATGAATTTTTTGTAGCCTAATCCTCAGCACTAAAGTAAATTGTACCATTTATATCAATCTCAAATGATACTTCAATTTTTGGAACTCCTCTAGGAGCTGGAGCAATACCATCTAAATTAAATTGTCCAATTTTTTTGCAATCTTTTGTCATTTTTCTTTCTCCTTCATAAATTTCAATTGTGACATTTGTTTAATTATCTGTATAGGTAGTAAATATTTGTGACTTTTTATATGGAATAGATGTATTTCTCCCAATAAAAACATTCATGATACCACCAGCAGTTTCAATACCTAAAGATAAAAGAGTGTAATCAAAATATAGAAAATTCTTATTCCATTCATCGTCTTAATTTTTTATGATGTCAGCTTAGATGGCTGCTCCATAAGCAACAACTTCATCTGGATTGATCGATTTGTTCAATGTCTTTCCATTAAAATAATCTTACACTAGCTCTTAAACTTTTGGAATTCTTGATGATCCTCCAACCATTACAATTTCATGAACATCTATTTTTGAAATACCTGATTCCTTAAGAACCTTTTCAATCAAAGTTATACATTCCTTAAACAAGCTCATACATAAATCTTCAAATTTAGTTCTGCTGATAGTACAATTAAAATCTTCCTTACCATCTAAAGCATCAACTTCAATTGTAGTTTAATTGGCTGATGAAAGAATTCTCTTAGCTCTTTCGCATTATGTTCTAAGTCTTCTTAAAGATATCGGATTTCCTCTAATGTTGATTCCTTTCTTCTTAAAAAATTCATCACAACAATATTCTACAAGTTTGTTATCAAAATCTTCACCTCCTAAGTGATTGTAACCAGATGTAGCCGTTATTTCAAAAAAACCATCTTCAATAGTCAATAAGGAGACATTAAAATTACCGCCTCCTAAATCAATTATAAGAGCATGGTATTCATTTTTGCATTTCTTATCTAAATTATAAGCAATAGCAGCAGCATATGATTCATTGATAATTCTCAAAACATTCAAACCAGCAATAGCACCAGCATCTTTTGTGGCTTATCTTTAAGAATCATTAAAATAAGCTGGAACAGTTATCACAGCCTTTGAAATTTATTAATTTAAATAAGCTTAAGCAGTTTCCTTCATTTTGCTTAATATTATTGAAGAGATTTCTTCAGGGAGGAATTTCTTGTTTTCTCCTTTATAATTTACTACAATCATGGGTGTATCATTGACACCAGCTTCAACTTTGAATGACCATAATTTAATATAATTTTGGACTGTAGTTTCAGAGAATTTTCTTCCTATTAGTCTTTTAATATCAAAAATTGTATTTTAATGATTTTTAGTTACTTGGTTTTGAGCATCATTACCAATGAGTATTTTAGTTTCATTAAAGGCAACATAAGATGGGATTGTTTTATTACCTTGATCATTAGGGATGATTTCAACTTTACCATTTGCAAAAACACTTACACAAGAATAGGTAGTTCCTAAATCAATTCCTATGGCAAAAGTTTAATCCATTATTATTATTTTCTATTATTATTTATTAAAAAACATCCAAACATTATTTTTGCTTTTAAATTGATTTAAGTAACTTATTTAATTTTCATTTAAATTTAATTAAATTTCCAGAAGCTTCTAAATTTCAATTAATTTATACAACATTGAAGCCTTTTCAATGTTATGATATTTTTAAATTAACCTATTTTATTTTAAGTTAAATTTTTAATATTTACAGATCTAATATGCATTTTAGAAAATGAAGTTTTTAATCTGATTTTATATATTTAAATTTTTTTTCATTTAATTTATAGGAAATAACCTAAAAATTATTAAAATAAGAAATCATGCAAGTTTTCGTTAATATGTTCTAAAAGATAAGATAAAATTTAATTTATATTTTCTATCTTAATTTAAAATTAAAATTATTTTATTTTTGAAATCTAAAATTCTTAAATTCATTTCCTTTGAAATTAAGTGAATATGTTTTATTTAATGCAAATTTCAGAGTAATAATATTATTTATAATTATGAACTCTCAAAGAAGGATTATTTAAGTTTAAAATAATTCATATTAATTTTTATAGTGTCCCAATTATTCAGTAATTTAAGGAATCATATAAAATTAGTACTTAAAAGTAGTAGAAATTATAAGAATGACAATATTCAACTTTAAGTTTCAAATAGTTAACATAAATTCTGAGTATTTACAAGATAATAACTTTGATTTGTATACTCAGTTTGTATGATAATTAGTATGCAAAGATTTAGTAAAAGGAATAGAAATCTGATAAACTTGTATACATAAATTTGAGTGAAACTAATATAATTATAATTTCTTTCCCTAATTAAAATTCCTAAAAATGAAAATATAATTAATTTTATTATGTTATTTGCATATTGAGTACAGAATTAAAATTTTTGTTATTTGCACATATTTTATCTATGACTATTTGACAATAAAGTATTTCGCTAAATGTTTTTTAATCAAATTGTCAATTTTATTTTGTTGAGTAATTGTTCTAATTATCATTAAAATATAAATATATTATATAATAAATAATACATTTTGAACTTAATAAATAATTATAAAATTGATTATAAACTTATATATTAAGATTGAAAATTAATTAATGAGAAAAGGATAATAATAAAAAGATTTTGTTTATTAGTAGATTCTAGAACAAGTTCTTAATATTATTATTAAATCAATAAATCCTTTTCTTTAGTGTTATTACAATCATTTATCATTATATTTAAAAGAATATATTAAAATGCGCTTAAGACATTAAACTCATAAAAACCAAATCTAGTAATAGTTTTTTATATTTTTAATTCTAATTAGCTTAATAATGTATGTCATAAAATAAATTTGAATAAGCCTTTATAAAAATCATGACATTTGAATATAAAATCCAAAGAATTTAAGAAAATCAAAAAGAACATTTAATTTATTTAGAGTATGATCAGTATTGATCTTAAATTTTCTTTAATAAATATATATTTATAGAAAATTATACAATATTAGTAATTTAAAAAATAAATAAAAATGATGCTCAATAATAAAGTAGAAGTATTGATAGTTAATTGTAATGGAACTAATTAGCATTAATTACCAATTAAGACTGAAATTGATTATTTTTCTTCTGCTTCAGCAAACGCCGATAGTAGCTAGGCATAAGAAAAAATTAACTTCAGAACTGATAAACAATCATCATAAATTGAGAATAATTACCAAGAAATAATTAATATTTATAATAATATTTGCAAAAATAAAAAGGGAAATTTTAAGAAGGAAAAAAAAAATTTAAAAGAGCTTTAGAAACAAATCAAATAATAAAACATTAGAGAAACTAATATTTACTATGAATAATTATAGAATGAATTATATAGGAAAGCTTTATTAAAGTTAGAAGAAGGAGATATATCTATTAAATAAAAAATTATTAAAGCATACCGAGATATAGAACCCTTAGTAACTGATTCAGCCTTTAAGTATGCTTAAAGATATTGTCAAAAATATGAAATAATTGATATAAATCAAATTATTTTATTATACAAAATTCTACTTCTACCAGAAGAAGTTTTAAGTAAGTTTGTTAAAGTTGAAGATAAAGGTATATTAAGATAAGAATATAAATTTTATGCTATGAACATACATCCTGATAAAAATAAACATCAAAAAGCTTTATTTGCCTTTTAAAAAATGAAAAAATATTGGAATGATATTCCTAACTAGTCTCATAATTGATTATATTTTACTTAATTTTTATAAAATAACTTATTTAATGAATGCAGACGAGATCACATTCGTAAAACTATATTCTTTACAAATTTTAGGCTAATAATTATTCTGAAACAATATTTTAAGATCGATAATTACGATTTGCTTATCATTCACCATTAAGATCTTAATCTCAATTTTGTGTTTAAAAGAGTAAATCTCAATATATACCAAATGTATCGAATGTAGCAAGAGTAAGAATTATGAGCAAACTTGAAATGCTAGATTCCTTAAATAAGGTGCAAACAGCAAAATTATGTAAGTGAGATTTCGTTAAATTTGAGCTCAAAAATGATCCTCCTATGAATTCATAAAAATCTAACAAAACAGATATACTTTCTAAAGTTGCTTAATTAGTCAAGAAATTATAACATAGAGAATTACCACATAAAATGATAGAAGCAACTGTTTTATCTCGTAAAACATCAATTCCAAAAAATACAAAATTGCTTCTTTAATAGGAACATATTGTGAAATAAATTACTATTACTCAAAGAACCAAAGGAAAATAATAGAACTAAAGTTAGTGTTAATAACATCATGAATCATATAATGTAGAACTATTAAGAAGAAGCCCTGAATAAAAAGATAAAAAAACAGAAGATAATATTGAATACAAAATTGTATANTATTTGCAAAAATAAAAAGGGAAATTTTAAGAAGGAAAAAAAAAATTTAAAAGAGCTTTAGAAACAAATCAAATAATAAAACATTAGAGAAACTAATATTTACTATGAATAATTATAGAATGAATTATATAGGAAAGCTTTATTAAAGTTAGAAGAAGGAGATATATCTATTAAATAAAAAATTATTAAAGCATACCGAGATATAGAACCCTTAGTAACTGATTCAGCCTTTAAGTATGCTTAAAGATATTGTCAAAAATATGAAATAATTGATATAAATCAAATTATTTTATTATACAAAATTCTACTTCTACCAGAAGAAGTTTTAAGTAAGTTTGTTAAAGTTGAAGATAAAGGTATATTAAGATAAGAATATAAATTTTATGCTATGAACATACATCCTGATAAAAATAAACATCAAAAAGCTTTATTTGCCTTTTAAAAAATGAAAAAATATTGGAATGATATTCCTAACTAGTCTCATAATTGATTATATTTTACTTAATTTTTATAAAATAACTTATTTAATGAATGCAGACGAGATCACATTCGTAAAACTATATTCTTTACAAATTTTAGGCTAATAATTATTCTGAAACAATATTTTAAGATCGATAATTACGATTTGCTTATCATTCACCATTAAGATCTTAATCTCAATTTTGTGTTTAAAAGAGTAAATCTCAATATATACCAAATGTATCGAATGTAGCAAGAGTAAGAATTATGAGCAAACTTGAAATGCTAGATTCCTTAAATAAGGTGCAAACAGCAAAATTATGTAAGTGAGATTTCGTTAAATTTGAGCTCAAAAATGATCCTCCTATGAATTCATAAAAATCTAACAAAACAGATATACTTTCTAAAGTTGCTTAATTAGTCAAGAAATTATAACATAGAGAATTACCACATAAAATGATAGAAGCAACTGTTTTATCTCGTAAAACATCAATTCCAAAAAATACAAAATTGCTTCTTTAATAGGAACATATTGTGAAATAAATTACTATTACTCAAAGAACCAAAGGAAAATAATAGAACTAAAGTTAGTGTTAATAACATCATGAATCATATAATGTAGAACTATTAAGAAGAAGCCCTGAATAAAAAGATAAAAAAACAGAAGATAATATTGAATACAAAATTGTATAATAAAAGCTTCCTTAAATTAAATCTTAAAAAGGGTTCTCAAGAAGCATTAAAAATATTGCACCTATCTAAAAAAATGTGATTATTAGCTATTAAACAGCAACTAATAATAGCATCAATTAAATTAGTAATATAAATAATTCATCAAATTAATAATAAGATACTAAACCTATTATAAAAGTCAATAACTTTAATAATGTGTCAAATTTACTATAAACTAGTACTTTAATAAGTAAATAACCAAATTCATCTGAAACTGAAAAAAAAACAGCAGGAATCATCTCATAATTATAAACAATGTAATAAAAACATACAGAAAAAAGATTGCCAATACCTGATTCGAGTAATTTATCTCTAAGTGGATGGACAGACCGATCCCCAATAAATTGATATCAATTTTTGAAAGTTTACAAAAGTTATATATTTTGCTTTATAAATAAGACATCTATAAAATTATTAGATCCTATATTATTTTTATAAAACACTTTAAGTAAATATTATAGTGTTTCCAATAAAAATAGAATATTAAATTTTCTATTCTAAAATAAGTTTATAAATTATTTTATCTATTAAATCAATTAAGAAGAATATAATATAATCATTATTTAATTTGATGAAAAAGGCAACATGATGGATGAATGAAGATGTAAAAATAAAATTAAATATAAAGGTTTGATAAACAAAAGATTAATTATTAATAATAAAGTTTGGATTCAAGTGAAGATCAATTTAGTGACATTGAAGATCAAGAAGATAATTATTTAATTTAACAAAAGAAATCTTATCAAGCGAGCATGTTGTTTAATTCATAAAAGGAAATTATCATTTTGAATGCATTGTCAAATAAATATAAATAATTATATAATGTAATCAAAGAAAAAGAGTTCATTTTTAGATTCTATCAAATAATTTTTTAATGATGCTCCAATTGATGATATTATCTATAATGAAGCTAATTCCACAATACCAATAGAAACTAAACAAACAAAATAAAGTTCATAGTAAAGTACTAAAGAAAGATCTAGTGATCCTAATGTTTTTAAGATTGGTAACGAAGATGAAGCCAATTAAATTTACAATGATGAAGAAGAAGATTCTGAATAATAAACAATGAGTGAAATGCAAAAAGAATACAGAATATTAATCCTTTATAATTTTAAATAAATTGGTAAGCCATTAGATTCAGGGTATTAAAAAAAATAAATCATCAATTTTCCTCCTGGTAGTACATTTAGAGTTATAAAACCAATAAAAACTCATAAATCATTAATGGATTATTTAACATCTGAAACTGAAAGGTATTTAGCTTTGGATGGAGGATGGATTTACTTTTTTTAGTTAATTAGTAAAGATAAATTTAGTGTAAGCTCAGCAAATTCTTTAAATAATTTATTTTAAATATTAATTAAGAAAAATGAAGATAAACCTACATTTCGATTCATTTTTACTACAAAATAAATAAAAAGGTTTTATTTAGCTAACATTGAATAATAAGATTTATTATTTCTAAAACTAAAAACTGAATGTTAGAAACATGGAAAATCATTTAATTATTGAATAAATTAAATATAATGAATTTTAGATATTAAATTATTGACTTAAGATACATATAAAATAAAGCAAATATGAAATTACTTTGATTTTAGCAATAATATTTATGCAAAAAGTCAAGCATTTTCATGAAATAATAAATTGTTTTGATTTAACATACTTTCTTTTGTATTATGTATAACATTTCGATTAAATTTTTATATTTTTTATTGTATATATAAATATATCATTATTTTATTATGTAAATATTACAAATAATGGAGGAAATCTTAGAAATTTATTATATTTTCTTATGATATAATATATTTTAATGAATTAATTATAAAAAAATGAAAAAATTAATAATAAATTTTTTGTTTGTTAATGAATAATTTAGATTAATCGATTTAATCGGAATTCAATGAATTCACAGCCCAATTTTAATAATAAGAGAAAGAAATTAATAATCCAGAATCATTATCCTTTTAAAATAAATCTTAGTAACTTTAGCCTAATTCATCAATATAATTTTAATCAGCTGAATAATTACAATCATATTAATAAAGCATTATTCATTTTTAAGAATAGCCTTAAGGTGAAATACTTGATACATCATAAAATGAGACAGAACAATACTTAAATATTAGTTTTTAGGATATCATTCAACTTATTTTTAATAATTAATGTCCTTAGCTGAACAATGTACTAAAAACAGTAATTTTAAGAAGTTGTATAATAATAAATATATTTACTATTCTCAACTTAATTTTCATAATTAATGAAGTTGTAGCTTTGTATTTTTCATTAATTACAAAAGATGAAATAAAAGAGTTATTTAGTGTTTATTTTGGATTCAATTTAATATCTGATTGTTTGATGATATACATTAATTGCTAATTAAGATATATTATAAATGAAGCTGAACAAATAAATCATGGAGATATTACTCATCCAATTATTGAATACTTAAAATATACAATAAAATTAAACAGTCCATTTGAAGACATAATTGAAGATGAAGAATAGAATTCATAAGCATAATAAGTGGCCATTAGTATATCTTAGAAAATTACAACAACAAAATGGATTTCTTATTTGCTTGAAAGTTAAAATTCCTAAATGTTTGCACTGAATAGGGTATTTATATTGGTGAAGATAATATTGTTTGCTTGGGGAAATATAACTATATTGTAATGGGAATTTCTAAATTGGAATGATAGGATAAATAGCACTGACTATTTATAATCTATATTAATAGTAATGACCTTATTTTCAATGCTCATAGGTTATATGATAATAGCTATGATAATCTGTATATTATTAATAATATGTGCTATAATTCCTATAATAATAGGAGTAGCTATATGGTAATCATGCAGTTTGTGTACTGATCTTTATGATGAGTATAAATAACATAGAATTGAATAATAAAGACAAGGATTTTTATCAAATTTAAATTCACAAAAATTCTAAGATTTAAAGAATTAGGATATAAATATACATGAAGAGTGTTCAATATGTTTATAGACTTATCAAATTGATGATGATTGTATTAAATTACCTTGTAATGTTGATGGTGGTAATAAGAAAATAAATCACATTTTTCATGATGAATGTATAAGAATTTGGATATAAGATCAGGGTTCTTGTCCAATATGTAGAACTATATTTATTGAAAGACTTGAAAATTGATAAATTTTTCTTTTATTATTATTGGTTTATTCTTACTTTAATTAATAATTTTAGTTTTATAGCAGTTAAACCATTAATGTCTCTAAATACAACTATGCCATATTATCGTAATACATCAAGAGAGATCAAAACTGTTAGAGAAATAATACAAGCTGAAGCAATTAAAAGTGCTAGAATATTGAGTAAAGATAAAGTCAAAGTAAAACAGAATACATCAATTGGAGATTGTAAGATTATATGCTTTATCATAAGTAAATCGTAGTAAAAGAAAAACAAATAATTCATTTTATGATAATCGAAATATATCTTAGAATGAAAATACAAATATACTATAAAGTTATTTAGCAAATGCATTCTAAGAGAAAAAAGAAAATTTATAAAGAATATAGATGCAAGAAATTAATAATAAAAATAAATTAGAAGAGAATAAATAGAGGGAGATTAAATATTTAATGAGAATTGCAGCATTAGAAAAAGAATCATCAAAATTAACTGAAATGGTATCAAAATTAAAGAAAGAAAATACATAAATAAAATAATCAAGTAATAGAGAATCTATAGTATTGTAATTATAAGAAGCTTTAAATTAATAAAGAATTGAAAATTAATTACTTAAAAAATAAATAACTCATCTATAAAATACAAATAATAATTTTAATAATAGTATATAAAAAAGAATAGATGTTTAAAAGAGTATTACATTGAATACAACAAATACAATTAATACAGCAAACACAACAACTAATACTTTTAATGATATTTTAAAATCTAAAGAGTATATACCCAGTTATTTACTTGCTTTAAGTTTAGCTGAATGAATTAATATTGATAGTATTTTATATTCTTATTTCAAACATCTCTCATTTTATAATTATTAATCAAAATTATATTTACAAATGTAATATTTCTCATTTATTTATATTTAATTATAGAGATTATTTGAATTTTAATATACAATATGAATTATTTATATACATTAATAATGTTGTTAGATATTTTTATAATTATTACGCATTTTATAATTCGATTATATTTTTAAGCATATGTTTATTTGATTATTTATTCTTATTATTGTTAATTTAAAAAGTCATGAATATGTTCCAACTATTATTCACAAAATTTGCTGATATTTTATTATCATCCAGAACCTTTCCGTTCTTGTAATGTCAACCATCCATCTAAAATTAGACAAAAGAAATGGGTGTAATTTGGACTAAAGAAATGAATCTAAATGTTAGACAGTTACTCTAAAACAATTGGAGAACATCTTAATCAAATGAAATGATTGTGTAATTTTTTATTGAAAATGATGGAAACTCTTTTTTAGTTGAAGAATGGTGTCTAATTTAATAACAAAGTACTATTCCTAATCAGTTAACCAGTAATAAAAAGAATAATACCTTACTAAAACAATTAACAATTTGGTTAAGATCTGCAATTGCTATGATGACTATGACAACTATATTTAAAGAAGAATTCATAACGAAATAATATAAAGTTTCACATAGTTTATTATTTTATAATAAGAATACTAAAAAAAGAAGTGATTGGATAGATGACTCAAAATTATAAGTTAAAAAGATTACAACAAAATTTCTTAACTAATAAAATCTATAATTGACAATAGCTTAATAAGGATCATTAGATTAAGTATTATTAAAGAGAATGAATAGAACAGAATCACCATTATATAAAAGATGTCGTTATTTGAGTGAATAAATTTGTGATAAAGATTCATAAGCATATTAAAGGAAAATGACTATGGATTCTGAATAGTGGGATTAATAAAAATCTCATATCATAGAAAACACTTCACCATCTTCTACAAACAATCTAAATAGATCATTCATTTCAGTATATTCTAGGAAAGAAGAAGTAGAATTACTATTTACATAAGAAGAAGCTGCTTTAAAATTATAAGATAAAAATTTTCTAGATGAGAATTATGAAATAAATATGATGACAAATGATCATGTATAAAAAGAAATCTTTATTTCTTAAATTATGATTACTAATAAACTTTCAATATAAGAAAAAAATAATCAATAGTAAATTTTAAACACTTTAAAGAATATTCATAATAAATCAAAAAATAGAAGAATTAGATCTCTTTAAATTACTAAATTATTGAATTTCTACAGATAATTTTCATGATTTATATATGATTACTATTTATTATAAATATATATAAGTTCTGTAGATTAAATAAATATTTTAGCAAATCAATCTGGTAAAGCAGGATTGTTAAAGTCATCTCTCATAAAATAATCGTCATTTTCATCATAAAAATAGTATTCTGAACAATATTTTTAATCTTCTTCTAATTACAAATATTTAATATAATCATCTTCATTTTCATAGTACTATTACTATTGGAGAATTTATTAAAGTTCAGGTTCATCATCTATTTCCCTTTGAACTGCTAATTAGTCATCTGCTTCTATTATCATATTATCCCAAGAATTCTATTCTTATTCTTCTTCTTTTTCTTTTACTTAAGTTATGGCAGATTCATTTTTCAATTCTTTTATGAACTAATTCAGATTACCCATCTTTTTATCGAGAAACCTCATTATATCGATGGATTATGGAATTTTCCTAGATTCAAAATGAAAGTATTACCTAAATACACTATAATATTATTCTAGTGATCTTTTAGGAAGTCCTACAAGATCAGCTGCTTCTTTCAAAGTTGGCTTCAAGTAATTACCAACCTCATCATAATAGCCATTTTCAAACAAGTCCCTCCATTTTTAGACTGCATTCAAAGCTTCCCCAACATATCTCTCTCTCTTTGATCTTCTTTAGTCCTACTTTTCAGATTGAGTTTCTGTATTCATTCTATTATAATTAGAAATAATATGACAATTAATTACATTATTTAGGCTTAAAACAAAAATAGGTTTTACATTTATAGAATTATACAAATTAAAAATGAATCTGTTTATAAAAAATTATAAAACCATATTCAAAAAATTAAAAATCACTTACAGTAATAACAGCTATTACTCTATGCATACATTTTAAAACTATTTAAGAATATCAAAATTATAAAGAATTTAATAAATTAATAAAAATATCATATAATAACAATATTTATTATTCTGAAAATGATGTATCCTCATCAAAAAAATATGGAATTATGAAAAAGAACGAAGGAGCTATTTAAGTACTTGATAATAAAAGGAATAAACTAACAAAAACCCATACTTTGAAATATTGAACCTTAATTCATTAAAAGATAGATGTGGAAAATTTATAATATGTCCTTATATTATGTAAAATTTAGGTATTAAATTAGATAACCAAAAGAAACCAAACTATCCGATAATTTATATCATAAATAATTATAATCTTTTACTGTATGAGTGAAAATTCATTGTAAATTAAAAAAAATGAATAGCTAATTTAATGGATAGAAGATTTTTTTAATATTTGAAATGATAAAAGTTTAATTTATTAATTTAAATTACGTAAAAAATATAAATCAAATAAAAAGTAAACTTATCTAATCAAATTTTATAAACCTTATTCACCATAATTAAAATTAAGATAAAAGTCTAATACTATAAGAACTGAATAAAGATAAAACATAAGTAATATAGTTATTTATGCAAAATTTGATTGGTTATTTATTATTGCAAAAATTAATTAAAAAATATTATATGAATACCAGCTCAATTTATTCTTATTAATATATTATTATTTTGTGTAGAATGATAAATAATTAGAATAATATATTGAAGATTTGAGATATAAAGAAGAATTATAACCTAAAATTTTTTATAATTTCTATTTTACATTAAGAATGATTAATAAACAAAGTTTTTAAAGTTAAAAAATTTCTATAATTGAACTTGATGAATTCTAACTCATATCTATTGGAATATCTCATTAATAATTAAAAATAAAAAGAATTTGAATAAAAATATTGTGGTTTCAGAGATTATTTGATAAAATATTAGGTAAACACAGTAATTAATCAAAATATATAATCAAAAATTTAAAACAGACAATATTAAAAATTAATATTTAGATATTTTTAGTTATTAAAGTCATTTTTAATGATACTTAGCAAAATATAATGACAACAGGAGTATATTCATTAGATTTTTTGATTAACAACTAAAAAGAGGATTACCAAGTTTTTTTTAACAAATAAATATTTTTTAATTTACAAGATTAAAAAAACAAAAATTAGTTTATAATAAGCAAATTAGAAATGTTAAAAGTGGTTATTAAATTGCATTTTCTAAATGAGCTATTTTTAATTTAATGCTCGCTAAATGAATATAATTAAGAATTAAATTCATAAATTAGTAGGTATTTGATGATCATCAAGACTTGAATAATTAGTTGAAGAAAGAATAAAATGGATTGAATGTAATGTAAATGTAGATATATAAGAATATATATATAAATAAAAAGAGATTGAATAAATAATGGATGAAATGATGTAAAGAATATATTAAGATGGTTATGTTAGATAAGATAGATATGGAGTTTTAATTAATAAAATAATTTGATATATATATACATATATAATTATATTTATGTATTATATATAAACAACATAGAATATATAGAATTGTATTGATAAATAGTTTATTTATTTCAAATAATTAATATATTAAATAAACAATACGGAAAATGGATAAAGAAAATGCAAAAGCACCTTAAGACTTTTCAACTTAAAATGTACCATTATTATAAGCTTAATAATAACCAATTAATTAATATTATGTACCTTATGCTCCTTAAATTTAATAACCATAATAATAATAATAATTATAATTATAATAACCATATTTATAAAATCCTTATTAAGTATTGAATCTATAAACAGACTAATAATAATATTCAAACTAATAATAATAATAATAATAATAATAATAATAATAATAATAATAATAATAATAATAATAATNAAACTGCTGGTGGTATCATGAATGTTTTTATTGGGAGAAATACATCTATTCCATATAAAAAGTCACAAATATTTACTACCTATACAGATAATTAAACAAATGTCACAATTGAAATTTATGAAGGAGAAAGAAAAATGACAAAAGATTGCAAAAAAATTGGACAATTTAATTTAGATGGTATTGCTCCAGCTCCTAGAGGAGTTCCAAAAATTGAAGTATCATTTGAGATTGATATAAATGGTACAATTTACTTTAGTGCTGAGGATTAGGCTACAAAAAATTCATAAAAGATTACTATTATGCCTTAAAAAAGTAGATTATCAAAAGATGAAATTGAATTATTAGCTTAGGAAGCTGAAAAATTTAGAGCTGAAGATGATATAATTAAATCAAAGATTGAAGCCAAGAACAACATTGAATTAACTGAATATTAAATTAAAAACACTATCAAAGATGAATAAATTAAATGCAAATTCACAGCTGAAGAAATATCAAGACTTGAATAATTAGTTGAAGAAAGAATAAAATGGATTGAATGTAATGTAAATGTTGATATATAAGAATATATATATAAATAAAAAGAGATTGAATAAATAATGGATGAAATGATGTAAAGAATATATTAAGATGGTTATGTTAGATAAGATAGATATGGAGTTTTAATTAATAAAATAATTTGATATATATATACATATATAATTATATTTATGTATTATATATAAACAACATAGAATATATAGAATTGTATTGATAAATAGTTTATTTATTTCAAATAATTAATATATTAAATAAACAATACGGAAAATGGATAAAGAAAATGCAAAAGCACCTTAAGACTTTTCAACTTAAAATGTACCATTATTATAAGCTTAATAATAACCAATTAATTAATATTATGTACCTTATGCTCCTTAAATTTAATAACCATAATAATAATAATAATTATAATTATAATAACCATATTTATAAAATCCTTATTAAGTATTGAATCTATAAACAGACTAATAATAATATTCAAACTAATAATAATAATAATAATAATAATAATAATAATAATAATAATAATAATAATAATAATAATTAATATAACCTTATTAATAATAGATAACTGGTATTGTATTACAAAATCCTTATATTCCTTATGTATATTTATAATTTATATTTTAGACTCCATAAGTAGTATAAAATGCTTCTGGATTTAGAACTCCAGCATTAGTTTAATGTCCTTTTTGTAATTAACATTCAGTTACAACTATTACTTATAAACCAGGTAATGATACATATTGGATTGCTGTATTATTATGTATTTTCTTTGGTTGTTTATGTTTAATACCTTTATTATCTGGTGATTGTAAAGATGTTTATCATCAATGTAGTTATTGTGGAAAAGTTGTTGGACATACACCTTATAAAGCATGTTCATGATTTTATATTATCTATATACATTTCATTTTCATAATAAATCATAA